TAGTAGTAGTAGTAGTAGTAGTAGTAGTAGTAGTAGTAGTAGTAGTAAGTAGTAGTGGTCGTGGTGGTGGTGGTGGTATAGTGGTGGTAGCATTCGTAGTGGTAGAAGTAGTGATAGTCGTCGTGGTTGTAGTCGTCGTCTTCCTCGCAGTAGTAGCCGTAGTAGCAGTAGTAGGGGCAGCAATAGCAGAGCAAGATAAAATAGTTGGAAATATTTTTCCTAGGGCTTGCCCGAGGCTTGTCTATATACTAGCCCTTAAAAGCTGCTGGTGGCAATGAAATCAATGAATTTAAATAAGGTGGTTTAAGGGGTTTTCAGGTCAGAGAATCAAACAAGCCTTAGAAGAGTTAATCAATCATCTTAAAAGGCAGGAGTAAGAGAGCAATATAGAACTAATTCTCAATATTTTTCATAGGGCTCCAAGATTGCAACTTCACCCCCTGAAAAATTGTTTGGGGCAATGAAATCGATGAGTTGTACTATAAGGGTTTAAAAAAAGGCTTTCAGGTCAGAGTTCCGTGAATCAAGCAAAACTCAGTAGTAGTAGTAGTAGTAGTAGTAGTAGGAGTAGGAGTAGCAGGAGTAGTGGTAGTGGTAGCGGTAGTGGTAGTATTAGTAGTAGTAGTAGCAGTAGTAGTAGTTGTTGTTGTTGTAGTTGTAGTAGTTAGTAGTCGTAGTACTAGTAGTCGTCGTCGTCGTCGTAGTCGTCGTAGTAGTAGCAGTAGTAGTATAGTAGTAGTAGTCATTGTCGTAGTCGTAGTAGTCGTCTACAGTAGTCGTCGTCGTCGACGACGACGACGTCGACGTCGACGTAGACGTAGACGTATAGACGTAGACGTAGTCGTAGTCGTAGTCGTAGTCGTAGTAGTAGTAGTAGTAGTAGTAGTAGTAGTAAAACGACGGCTGCCCATCGAATTGGAGGCGCAAACTCGACCAGGCTTCGCAACTAATAAGGATAAGTTTCAGGTTGGCTTTCTAGTGTGTTTCACAGGTGGTTCTCACGACGCAGCGGTGATATAGCCCGGCTCCCCCAAAATTGCAAGACCATACCTTCCAGAATCATTTTGCGGACCCACCTAAATTGCCAACCGGCACTAAACAGCAAAGACTAGATGAACAATCTACATCATCGGCGCCGCGCGAGAAACTTTCACATCAATAATATCTGACGAGACCGCGAACACATGCAACATGGCACGCCTGTTCACAGAGCAATGAGCAAATAAGGTCTTTCTAAACAGGACGCAATCGAGCAGTTTCCTGACTCGAAGTAGAGTAAAAGGGGTGCACATGCAACTAAAAAGGAATCGATTTCTGCAGAAATAACATAGAATGGAACAAAATTGTGAGTGGCTACTTTGTTCATTCTGCATGGCTTGCTTTGTAGCGTGCTCTGACACACCACCACCACATTCAGTAAGGCTGGAGCCATTGGAACCAATTGGAGTGAACTATCCCAGTCACAAAAATATCGAAAAGACAGAGCCATGTCGGTTTTGCGCCTACGCATAATTGTTCAGCCATGTGTTTATTCTTGTGTGATTATGCTTTGTCGCATGACTTTCCCAGACAACTACGGCCTCGACCACCACCACATTCAGTAAGGCTGGAGCCATTGAAAACCAATTGGAGCGAGTCAAAGCAAAGCGCGAAAAGACAGAGCCATGTCGGATTTGCACCTGGGCACGCTCATTCAGCCATGTGTTTACTCTCGTTTGCTTGTGCTTTGGCGCGTGACTTTCCCAGACAACTACAGCCTCAACCAGTTCGACGACCAGAACCACTTCCAGTCAGGCTGGCTGCGTCATGCTTAATTGTCCGACTGAGGTGGTTTCATGCCAACTAAAATGAGCAAATGACTTGCTAGCAGAAAGCGCCATGAGATTGTTTCGGGAGGCTAACGCCTTTTCATTTTCGTTCTGCTTGTTGTTTGGAAGTTTTTTCTCAGACAGCCACGACATCGACCAGTTCAAGTGGCACTACTTCCAGTTCCACTGAGGCCTTTTTTTGCTTGGTTTGCCCTGCCAGGTTTGGCTTGGGCAACATTTGCAAAACACATCGAAACTTGTGAGAACCCACTTCTTGGACCACCTAAATTGCCAACCGGCACTAAACAGCAAAGACTAGGTGAACAATCTACATCATCGGCGGCGTGCGATAAACTTTCACATCAATAATATCTGACTGAAAGCTCGAATAGTAAATGTCACCCTGCGGCTTGAACGAGACCGCGAACACATGCAAACATGGCACGCCTGTTCACAGAGCAATGAGCAAACTAGGTCTTTCTAAACAGGACGCAATCGAGCAGTTTCCTGACTCGAAGTAGAGTCAAAGGGGTGCACATGCAACTAAAAGGAATCGATTTCCCCAGAAATAGCGTAGAATGGTGCAAAATTGTGAGTGGCTACTTTGTTTCGTTCTGCTTGTTGTTTGGAAGTATTTTCTCAGACAGCCACGACGTCGACCAGTTCAAGTGGCACTACTTCCAGTTCTACTGAGGCCAGGTTTTTTGCTTGGTTTGCCCTGCCAGGTTTGGCTTGGGCAACATTTGCAAAACAATGCAAAACACATCGAAACTTGTGACAACATACTCCATGAAAGTTCATGAAAGTTGAGCTTGAACCGGAGACCTTTTTGTGCTCGAAAGGAAACCTGCGCTTGACTCCAAGCAGGTTATGAGCCCAAGCATCGACTCGGGTTTGTAGTTGATTTTGGAAGACTACCCGGTGTTGGCCGGTAGTTGGATCCCATGGGCGTGAATCCTTTTTGGAGCGAAAGACTCCGAGAGCAGGTGGAGTTGATGAGGGTGAGACCTTCGGATCTTGCACCAGAAGGTGATCTACCTGTGGTGCCAGATGACTCCAAGGAAACGAGTCTGATGAGTTCCGAGGAGCTGCTGGAGGAACACCAAGGCCTGAGGCTGCTTGAAGTTTCCTATGATGAGGGCGATGAGCCAGACGCTGAAACGGAAGCCGATGCAGAAGCAATCAGTGCTGGTGGAGGACCTCATGTACAAGGAGCGGCGGCTGAATCTGCAATCAGTGCTGGTGGAAGAGGGGATCGGGGCTCGGACCGTAGTGATCGTAGTGCTGCTGAGCAGCTGAAAGGGGAGCCATCCATCGAACATCGAATCCAAATAGAGTCGGGCTGGCCGACTGGAGATCGATTTCATGGTCCGCTGCCTAGTTGGGCCTATAGTGCAGATCAACAGGGCGTTCCTTTACCTCCACAAAGCTGGCTAACAGAACGTGCGAAAAGTGAAGAATGCAGTGAAGGTACGAAGAGACCCTCCTGAACAAGCTCGACGATTGGGAGAGCGCGAAGGAGGGGATCATCGTCAAGGCGACCGGCAAGATGACGGTGGAGGTTTTCAACGCGCCTTGGAACAACAAATGATGGAGGAACTACAGAAGCAGAATGAACTCCTCCGAAGAGAACTCAAAAGGGCCAAGAAGGAGACAATGAAGAAGGCCATCCATTGTAAGAAGTAGCCATGAGAAGTAGAGATTGATCAGAAAAGAGGACGGAAAGATCCGGCGCGATAAAAGTGAATGAAAGGGACAGCGAGGTGAAAGAAGAAGCAGTGAAGAGATACAGAGTGTGCGGGTGTAGCTTCCATTGTGGGTCAGTTTAATATCAGCTTCTGCAGAAGACGTGCAGCGCACCAGTTCTTTTGACGCCTGCCACACGCAAGCCGCGCGCGGCCCAGCGGCGCCCACGCGCGCCGCAGCTGGTCCGGGAGGCTTTGCGCACTGCGCCTCCCACAAAATCTGCGCTCCAGGTTCACCAAGTACTGCGCCTGCCACGAAATCTGCACTGCGAGGCTCACTAATAGTACTACGCCTGTACTGCGCCTGCCACAAAATCTGCGCTCCAGGCTCACTAAGTACTGCGCCTGCCACGAAATCTGCGCTTCGAGGTTTACTAAGTATTGCACCTGCCACGAAATCTGCACTTCGTGGTTCACTGTGAGTATGCTGCGCCTGCCACGAAATCTCCACTTCAAGGTTCGCTGAGTCCTGCGCTTGCCACACGGAAGCCGCGCTCGGCCCAGCGGCGTCCACGCGCGCCGCAGCTGGTCCGGGAGGCTCTGTGCACTGCGCTCCAGGTTCGCCAAGTACTGCGCCTGCCACGAAATCTGCACTCCAAGGCTTATTGAGTATTGCGCCTGCTACATGACAGCCGCGCGCGGTGGTTGGGAGGCTCTGTGTACTGCGCCTGCCACAAAGTCTGCGCTCCAATCTGCGCTAAGTCACGCGCGGCCCAGCGGCGCCCGCGCGCGCCGTAGCTGGTCCGGGAGGCTCTGTACTGCGCCTGCCACAAAATCTGCACTCCACGTTCACCAAGTACTGTGCCTTACCGATGCTTGGAGGTGGCAGCTAGTGGAATGTGATGCGGAATGTGATAATGCGCCCTGGGAGGCCAATAAGCGCCAACATGCGGGCTTGCAAACCGTGAAATGCAGCCTGTGTGATTGTGCGCTGGAAGAGCTGTGAGGTACTTGCAGCGCTCATCTAGTGAAGGAAGACATCGCTTTGAGCTTAGGAGTTGAAGCAGCAATGATCTCAAGTCCCTGAAGACCAGATTGCAGCGCCCTCGTCAAGTAGCTTTCGCCTTGGCTGACGTGAGCAGGGCCGCAAATCCAGCGGTGTCGGCTTGTTTTTGGATTGCGTAAGATCCCACTTTCCCCAACAGGCTAGAAGTCTTGCCGATGGGCTTTGGCCCCCAGAAGATGAGATTGGACCAAGGAGCGCTGGGACACCGTGCAACATGTCTCGACATCCTCAGCGTCAACGAGAAGATCAAGGCGATGTGTTGATGTTCAAGATCTATGTGTGCGTGAAGTCGGGCCGCGGAGAGACCAGTGGCAGGCCGGCGCTCCTCGTCTGAGGTTAGGAAAGCTTTTTGGTTGATGGTGCAATTTCATCGTGCGCTGACACTTTGCTTGGTTTGTGCGTTGCTGGTGTGAAATGAACGCAGCAAACTCTTCCAAATTTCAGCAGATCTCGTTTTCCAATGTGTCAAAGGCTCGCAGCCGTTGCGCTAGAGAGCTGCTGGTGCACGAAGAGCTTCTTGCAAAAGACCCTGAAGATAGCCATGTTCGGAGTCACCCAACAAGTAGTCGAGGCCCTTGCAAGCTGAATATGGAGCTCGCTTGTTCAAGTGGCACGGTCACTCCTATTGTTCTGGAAACTGCTGAGAACTTTCATCGGCCAGGCCCTTGGGCTGAACATGTGGGTGGAAGAGTTGGGGCATTTTCGTGGCCAAAAGGCCAACATGCTGTATGCAGCAGAGGACAACTGGATGGCAGGTGAAACAAACTTGGACTTAAAACTTCAGACAGGTTCATTCTCATCTCAAGGCTCCATCTACCCATCCACGTGACATTTTTGTGGCCTTTTGGCCAACGTTCTGTGGCGCCTGTGTGCAACAGAGGAAAAGAGGATGGCAGCCGGCGCAAGCTTTAGATCAGTTCACAGCACTTTGCCAATCAACATTGCCGCACATCAGACCAACACTCCAGCATTATAGAGTAAAAGCTCCTGCCCAGCTCTGCCAAAGATCGTATGGGAACGCAAGTGGCGCTTCCAAGCGCGATGTGTTTGCATCTACCAGAAACCTCATTTCAAACTGGACTTGCAAAACCCCCCAAAAAATGGGTGGCAGGCCAAAGGCCTGCTTTGTGCCTAGGTATGAACTGCACGGGTGTGAACCCTGAATTGTTGTTCTTTGGTTCACTTGCAACTTTGTTTGCACTGTGTGTATTTTTTTTTGCTTGAACTCATGTTTAACGTTCTTTTGCACAACTCGGCGCAGACAAGCACGACAACAATGACGACATCAAGCAGCATCACTTCCAGTTCCAGTCTGGTGGCTACGACATGTTTAATTTGGCCATTGTGTTTGTTTTGGCAACTTTCATGCAACATGCTCCGCCAAATCTTAGATGCCGCAATTCTGCAAAGAGAAACCACAGTCCGCGTGCACCTCTCCCGAGACAAAGACAGAGACTACGTCAGCGAGTTCAACTTCCACCACTTTCAGTCAGGCCAGCTCTGATGGGTGTGATGTTACCCAGATTTTAATTTGGTAGCCACCTCATACCAAGCGGAAAGACCCAACTGGTCATTCGGTCCCGGCCAGTGTGACTAGTTGCGTTAGGTAACACCCACTGCTATGTGTCACTGGATCCACTGGGCGCCCACTTTTCCTGCGAAGTTGTTTCATAATTGCAGCCTTCCTTCCACAGGTTTTGCGAAGTGGCAACAGAACCTTTGAAGAGGGCTGACAGGGTTGCAAACTGATACTTGTCAGGGGCCATCCAGTTCCCACTTGGCCGTGTGCATGTAAACTCCATCGCACTCCGCTTGTGCCTTTGCGGCGCTGGTAGACATTCTTTTTTTTGTTGAATGTAAAGGAAATTGTAGCGGACGAATATGGGTAAAGTGCAGGGGGGCCGATGGACGATGACGATGACGATGACGACGACGACGACGACGACGACGACTACTACTACTACTATGAGGAAAACATGCTCATCACATCATTGTTCCAGACAATTTTGGAGATTTATCACCATGGCGCACATGTACATGGAGAAAGAATTTTTTGCAACAAATTCATCTCATCGCAAACCAGCGGGTGTCTGGCTCCACTGCACAAACGCCGCGCAGACCACCACTACCACACGCGCAGAGGGCCCAACCAAGCTCGACAGGACCTTTCTGAGAGTGGTGGTGTAGGGAGTGCAAGTTAACTAGAACTGGAGACTCATTGGATTGCCAATGGAATGCCTGGTTTGGGCATGAAAGAACATGTGTGGAGGAACCTTCTCATGTGGGGGTTGACACTTCATTGGTACAATGAAGATTCATGAAGTAACGTACCGAACTCGAAGATCCGACTCCGACAGACTTTGTTTGTTCTTCTTCAGGAGCCTGCTTTTTGTGAAGCCGGGGCTGTTGTCCTTGGGGGTCCTGGCTGGCTACTTGCTTGTGTTTTTCGCGTCCTACGTGGCGGTCATGGGATTTAGAGGCGCGAATATTGGAGCTGAAAGAGAGACACTTTTGTTGGAGTTTCTGCTACAGGTGAACTAGATACCGAATGAGGTCTTGACAAAAGGAACACATGTGGAGCCAGCGCAGGCCACTTGATTTCGTGCGCAGTGACGGGTTAAAGGCTTGTCCAGTCCTTTTTTCCGAATCCAAGTGCCTACCATCGCACCTGGTGTGTAGATTTTAGTCGTAACTTATCCATTCACCAATAGGGGATCCCAATTTAACTCCATGCCCCCATATGCCCCCATAATTTCGTCTATCAGCATTTCTGTGTGATGGTTTCCCCAATTTCCAGTGGTTTCTTTTCGCTCGATCCCACCTCCACGTCCACGTGTGTTGGGTCTACCTCCAACGCTGCCAACGTTTTGGCAGAAGAGGACACGTGAAGACCGCGTGGGATTCGCATGGGTTTGGTATGCCAAGGCCGCCACAGTTTCATGGGATTCACCACCTCAGTGGTTTCCTGAGCGCAAAAAGATCAAAAAGACTTGTGAGCGCTGCATTTGCCAGGTCGCTTGGGTATCGCTCCGAAGGATTGCTCCGAGTGCTGAAAGCCGGTTTCATCGAACGCCACGGCGCGCTGTTGCTTATATGACCACGTGGATTCACTTTGCTGCCAAATGGGCGGTGTAGCTGCCTTGAATATCAAAATCTAAGGAGCGCTTCCAATTCCAAGCACCATTAAAATAGATGAAAATAGGACGTGCCGTGCGGGTTCCATAGTTCCCGTTCTTAGTGACCAAACGGCAGGTATACCATTGCAAGTCTGCTGCGCTTGAAATGATGAACGGTCGTAAAATGGCACCTGCACAGGGCGCGGTAAGCTTAGAGTATTTCTGCATTGTGCAAGGCGTGGTTACATTGATGCCAGAGACCGCCGCTGTGCCATTTGCTTTCAAGCTAAGCATGTCAAATGGCAGAGTCAGGGCTTTTGCCTCCTGATCCTAGCGAGCCTTGCGATGGGAGCCGAGCCCAGGGCAAGCAGAGCAAGCAGGGCTCGGGGGACGGTCCAAGTGAACCCCCCCAAGAATTGCCCTCGGTTCATTCCTCAAGGAAAGGCACATTTTTGGCTTGCGTTCACCATGGTGCTGGAGTCCACAAACCTGATTTCTGGCATGCTCTATTGTTTGGAGGGCTACCAGCGTGCAGCAGTTGCTGATTTACACGTCGAGTGCGGGTCAGCCACACTGATACCAGTGCTGCCAGAGCAATGCCCAGACTCACTGTCACATCTGCCAGCCTGTGACCTTGGAATGGCCAATCTGGCCTTGTGTGAAGCCGATCCGGAAGACCGGTCGACCATGTGTCCAGTCTCAGTCGAGATTGACAATTGTGGCAAATTTGATGTTTACCAAGTGGTAGTAGAGCCAGCTTGCGCTGAGATAGGATGCGAGATCCTGACCAAGGCACTTTGGGCCTTTGCATTCACTTCCTTCGTCGCTACCACCAGTGTTACGAGCCTTTATCACACTCGAAAAGCGTGGAGAGAATTGAACGGGAGAGCAGGAACGCGAGCCTTACTCGTCACAGTTCAGGTTGTCCCAGTCTTGCTATACTTCACTGGTATGGGATTTGGTCTTGAGACCGCATCAGTAAAGTCTGTGATATTGCTCGTCGTGGTGGCACCAATTTTTCCATTCTCAGTGTGGCTAGTTTCACTGCTTCTAGAGCACGCTCGCAGCAAACAGAAATCCCAAGCAGCCATGGAACTTCCCATTTTCAGTGTGCTTCTGGCGTACCGGCTCGGGCCAACCCATGCGGATAAATTCATCGGGGCACGAAAACCGCTCGGCATATTACTGCGAATGGTGGAAGATGTCCCAGAGGCTGTTCTAGGTGGGGTTTGGCCAAACTTTGTTTCGGGGTCTCGGGATCTGGCTTAACACCGGGTAACCATGGAGCGACCATGGACTATACCCATGTAACCATGGAGCGTCCTCAACTACTGCAACCATGTTTCAACACAGAATTCGGACTGGTCATTTACATAAGTTACTTCTGCAACTGATGGGAAACAAGGGCGGGGTGTTGATTGACCCATCGGGCCTAACCATGGTGGTTCAAGGTTGTCTTGACCTATTCTTTTTTGGTGGGTCCTGGTTCGCCACCTTCAGCCTGATGATGTCGGTCATTCTGGTCCTGGTCGAGCTGCTGATGGGGTCCGCAGCCTTCCTAAACGGCGCCGCCCAGCACATGGCGGAGGAGGAGCGCCAAAGGAAGATGGAGACGGAATGAAACGGACTTTCGGAGGTTCGGCCTTGGAACATCTCAAAGTTTGGATTACCATTTTTGCCTGTCTGTCTTCAGTCAGGGCAGCCAAGATGCACGACCGACGGACGCCCAAATGCTCAGCCACAACGTGCTCTCATGAAATGATTCTGCACGTCGATTCACCTTTGGAAGAGTCGCTGGTTTTTCCCTGCGGACTGCTCATAGCTGCCGACAATCGCTTTGAATACGCTTTTCTTCAAAGCATTCAAGGACTGTTCTAGATGGATATGTTTTGCATTTTGTATCATTTTGTCTGCAGAACGCAATTCAGGTGGTTGTCGCCAGCTGTAGAATGCTGAAACTGGCATGTGTCAGATTGTGACACAGCCCCATCAGAGGCAACTGATGTCATTGGACCTCGGCAGCGACTGTTTTTCCCGACTGGAGTTCGAGGTTAAACAACAACAGTTCCAAGCCTTATAAACATTTCCTTTTGGGGGGGGTTGCCCCTTACTCTTCAGCTTGTCATGCTAACAAGTCAATGGTCCTCATATCATCCTTGGACATGTCCAAACTAGCCAAACCATCTCAGGTTTAAAGCAAACATGTCTTATTCTTTTGTTGCCTTTTTAGTCTTGAGCCACCTTGACCTGGTCTGCTTGGCAGATCCTTTGAGCCTTTTAGTCTATTTGCATCTTGGTGCATGTTGGGCCCACACACTGAGCGCTTCTTCTCCAGTTGTGCTTAAAATTTAACCACAAATGTGGCCACACATTGACAACCCCAAATCAAAAAAACAACAACCCCAATCAAGGCAACATGGATTGTGTCGCTGGTGAGCGGGATGATTTGTGGTATTGTGAAGATGTGGAAACACAAAAGTGAACACACCTAAAGTGATCGACCGCTCGAAGTGCCGTCACGGAAAGTGAAAAAGGATGCACTGTTCTGCGTGCCACGCGTGAAGCTCAAGAGGCCCCTGTGGCCGGTCCGAGGGGCGACAGCGGGGGTGCCAAAAGCTTTGCCCTCAAATGGATGGAGTCCATTTCACACCGGTGGTTGTTACCGATGGTCGTGGAGTGATTGGCGGCGGTCCACGTCAGTGAACTCTCGCCACCTCTCGCTCTCGCGGCAAGCGCAGAAGGAGCAAAAGGAATTTCTTTCCAACCGGGTTGTCAAAATGAACCGGGTTGCAACTAGACGACGAGTGGCCCCAAAGCATATTTCATCACGTAGGAAGTCAGAGTGCGAGTTATCTGTTAAGTGTGCAGTGTGAAGTGTTAAGTCGAGTGAGTTGAGGTAATGTGTGGGTTTCTGTGTGTGTATCTATGTCCGTGTGTATATGAGTCTGCGTATGTGTGTGTTCGTGTAAGTTGAGGCAGTGCGTGGGTGTCTGTGTGTGATGTGTGTGTATGAGTCCCTGTCTTTGTGTGTGTATGTCCATGTCTGCTGCTGGTGAAGGTCTTCACTGTACCTATAGTGAACGAATTAGCGCGCAGGCCTCCCAAACCCCCCACCGGCGGCCAAGCGGTGACAGCCCAGCTCATCGTCGTGAGCATTTGAGCTGCTGGTAAAGCGAGAAGCAGCGTGCACGCCTCCAGGAAATCTCACAAGTTCTTCACCTCTCGCAAGTCACCTCCGCCTACTGGAGTTCTTCTACCACGTCGCCAGTTCTCATCTTCCAGCTCCCCAGATACTCCGCGTACTCAAGTTGTACTACCAAGCCAGCTCTCATCTTCTAGCTCCCCACATACTCCGCCTACTACAGTTGTACTACAAAGTCGCCAGTTCTCATCTTCCAGCTCCCCAGATACTCCGCGTACTACAGTTGCACTGCCAAGTCACCAGTTCTCATCGTCCACCTCGCCAGATACTCCGCGTACTAAAGTTGTACTACCAAGTCAGCAGTTCTCATCTTCCAGCTCCCCGGCTACTCCGCGTACTAAAGTTGTACTGCAAAGTCGTCACCAGTTCTCATCAAGTTGTACTACAAAGTCGCCAGTTCTCAGCTTCCAGCTCCACAGCTACTCCGGGTACTCAAGTTGTACTACAAAGTCGCGGTGGAAGATGAGAACTGGTGACTTTGTAGTACAACTTCAGTACGCGGACTAGTTGGGGAGCTGGAAGATGAGAACTGGCGACTTCGTAGTACAATTGTAGTACGCGGAGTAGCTGGGGAGCTGGAAGCTGAGAACTGGCGACTTTGTAGTACAACCTGAGTACGCGGAGCAATCTGTGGAGCTGGAAGCGGAGAAGTGGCGAACCGTCGCCGACGATCTTGGAAACTCTCTACTGGTGGTGGTGCATAGAGAGGATCAACTGCCATTGGCGCGGATCTTGAAGATGACGAAGTGTCAGCCATGGGTCGCGCAGGAGGATCAGCCTTGGGAGAGTCCAGATCGTGGTTTTGTGGGACTGGTAGTTCAGCGAGGCTGGTTGGAGGTTCGACGTTCACACGTGGTGTCTCCATGTGCGCCGGTTCTCCCATTGGCTCTTCAAATTCATCTTCATCGAGTTCTGGTTGTTCAGGATGCCGTTCATAGGGTTGTCGCTCCTCTAGCTGTGGTTCCGGTGGCTCTGCCATGGGAGGATCTTCCGGAGGATCTGGAGCAGGTGGTGGTAGTGCCACTGAACGTTCGTGACTGGATAGCTTCTTGCGTGGAGCGATCGAAGGCTCTCTGTACGCCATCAGGTAGTCCAGGAGAAGCCATAGTCAGGTGGTTCTTCAGCTGTTGAAGGAGCGTTGTCGGACAGCTTAGGATCGACCTCATCGACGGAGCGCTTGTTGGCCATCAATGATTCGCGCGGCTCTTCTCTGTCTCAGGCCATGTAGGGCTTGTTGAGCACGTTGAGCTGCGCCAAGTTGACCACTGTCGCTCACCATCTTACGAACATGTTGAACTCCAGCGCGAAGGAGGACTGTTCCATGTGCAACCCAGTACACGGAGATGGTGCCAGTGTCAGGGTTGCGCTCAACTGCGCAACAACAACTGCTGGTCCGCGCCAGCGGATGGTGTGAGCCTTGTCCGGAAAGTCCCGCCAGTAGTAGCGCCGCTCACCTGGAAGAAGTTCTTCATCTTTGACAGTGCGTCGTCTCAGCAAGGCTCTTCTTAGCTTGACATCGATCTTGGCCTTGCCACATGCGCTCTGCATGGGCGGCGAACTTCATCTGCAGCCGCTTGCGAAGCGTCTCTTCCTCCGGTCAACTGAAGCTGAAGCGGGCTGGTTCGCTCATCCGAAAGGCGTCCAGGAAGTGCAGGTTCTCGGCCAAGAGCAAGTTGAGCGGGCGTATAGCCATTGACAAAGGTGCTGCTGTTCGAGGCAGGAACAACCCAAGATAGTGCTGTGTGCACACCATCAAGGCCTGTGAGGTCGTTCTCCATCATGATGATCGAAAACGCTTTGCGCGCGATCTGGTGTCCTCGTTCTACAATGGAGGCCCGAGTGTGCGCTTGTCCTGGAGAGATGCGGATCTCGACGTCGTTGTTCTCGCACCACTGCGTATATATATATATAATTTTTTTTGGCATCTGATGCCCAACCAGTGCCCTCATCCACATAGTGTTGTCGTGGTGGTCCATGATGTTGAATCCATGCACGTTCATGACCTTCTGGAGTGAGGGTCCTTTCTCGTCCATGATGGTGCGAGCTGCCATATATCTGGTTGCCGCATCAACCATGACCAGAATGGCGATCTTGCGAGCTTTCTGTCGTTTGCCAGGCTCGCGAACAGCTCCAACTTCATCGAGATCAAGCCAAAGAACATCAGCTTGAAGTTGGGCGTTGAACTCAGTCGGACGATCAAGGTGTCCAGGTGCCGTCCCCTTCTTGACTGCATGGGCTTCACAGAAGGGGCGTTCAAGATCATGGACCGCTGCCAGAAGCTGTGGGCTACAAGTCCTGCTTCTAGGTGTTGAGCAGGACGTCCTTGCGAGGGTGCCCAAGATTTCGATGAAGGCGTCGAGTGGAGGCAAGCTTTCTGAGAGCACCAGTGAGGGGAGCAATGGCTTCAGTCACGGCATAGACCTGTTCATGAAGTTCTTCATCAAGAAGTAGCGCTCGAGCCAGGTGAGGTTCTCAGCTCGTCTGCAGCGATTGCGTCCTTCGAGGCGCTGATGACCATGCTGTCCATCACACCGCTTGGACATGATCTCAAACATAGCCCACTTAGTGGTTCTTGAGGATGGGCATCTCATAGCCTTCGTCGTTCGGGGTGGTTGCACCGTAAGCACATTGATCGAAGATGGCCTTGTGGCCGGGCAGGTTTCTCAGTTGTTTGGTCTCCCAAGCTAGACTGAGACGAGGACGCTTGAGCCGCGGCGGACCTGCTTGAGGTAGAGCTTCTTGCACATAGTGAGGTGGGTCTCGGCATCAACCTCTCTGCGCTCTGCCAGGTCGGCCGCTTGTTTTATTCGGTGACGTTGATCTGCTGCACGCGCGACCAAAGCGTGCACTTGGGCGACATGTAGATCTCGCCCGGCTCAAGGTCATCACATAGTCGTAGTTGTTTTCTGTGGTTTGGCTCCCAGCCGTCCTTGAGGCCAAATCTCATCACCTCAACGTCGCCGTGAGCCTGCAAGAGACTTGTGATCTTGCCCTCGCCAGCGTAGACCTCGCAGATCAGCTTCCTCCTGCGACGCTGACCCTGGTCACGGGCGTGGAGGATCTCCTGCTGGACGTGCTTCTCGGTCTCCTGGAGTTGAGCTTCAATCCATGACATAGTCTTCTGAAGCTGTTCAATGGTCTTGATAGTCTCTCCAGGCAGAAGCGGGGCTTGATCATCAGGTCATCTGCTGCTTCCATGAAGGTCTCTTGGAGTTGGGCTCGGAGGCGAAGAAGGTCTTGACCTCGGTAGTCATCTCAAAGTCGCGCTCATGGGCGTTCAAGTCGTCCAGGAACTTGTTCAGATTGGTTTGCTCTGCGTGGTCATCCTCGCAGCGAAAGTCGAAGACAGGTGACTCGAAGGCCTGCGGATTGTTCACATTGGCCGCAAGGCGGAGGAGCATTGCACCTGGTCGTCCACGAGGGATGTCTCGCCAATCTTGGTGAAGTAGTCTCATCTTGGATTCACCGAAGTTGACTTCTGCTTGAAGAAATGGTCGTCCAAAGAGCATGGGAGTAGCCCCATAGATGATGTAGGCCTGGATGCGGCCGGGTTGGTCAGCGATGCGAACCGGGAGTTCCACCATCCATCTTGCACGCATCCTGAGGCGTCTCCGCCAAATCTAAAGGACTTGTCGCAGCGCTTGGAGATCAGG